CTTTGGACCAGTCTTTTGGTGAGGATAGGTCCTGTGGAACCAACTACTGTACAAGTTTTAGACTGTGAGGCAGAGACCCTGTCTACTTTTAAGGCTAGGCTTAAAACTTTCCTTTTTGATAAAGCTTCTAGTTAGAGTGGCTCAGGTTATCCTGATCTATCTCTATAGTTCTGCTGCTATAGGCTTAGACTGCTGGAGGACATAGGGACCCCTTTTCATGACCTGAGATGACATGATGTGAATTGGAGCTATAGAAATAAACTGAATAGAATAGAAGTCCAGGTCAACAGGAAGTGAGCTGCAGCTCCAGGAGGCGGATCCTGCAGCTTTAAGGCTCCAGCTGTAGTTTAACCGGCTTTTTCCGCCTGTTTTTAGGTCCAGGAGTCGAAGGTCGCGGTGGCGGAAGGCCTGTTTCCTGAGAGGATCAGCAGGCTGGACGAGATGACCAGAAACCAGGAGTTCTGACTGAAACGGCTCACAGATGTGGAGTCATGGCGCTCAGAGGGCACATCAGGAATCCCACCGCCACGCCGCTTGCTTCCTTTCTCTGCTCTGGTTGCTCTCCTGGAAGGATGACGGACAGCTGAACCTTCTGATATGTTTTAATATGAATGTGGGTTTGTAGCTGTTAGCCGTTAGCTAACGGCCCAGAGATGAGGATGAGGATCCAAGCAGGGATGAAGGACGTCGCTGTTTTAGATCCACAGCTGCCCTCCAGGTGACCAAATCAGAAGGGAAGCCATCTTTCCTTCCTCCATGCTTCATCAGAAATATCAGCGTCCATCTTTTCCTCTGAGCATCGACATGTTTCACAGAATCTTTCCTGGTTTGGGATCCGATCGTTTCTCCTGTGTGTCCCGGATGTTGTCCGTTCTCCAGGTCTGTGGTTTTAATGAGATTCTTGCTGCTCTGATTGTTTATTTTTAGTTTTTTTTTTTTTAGAACTGATCTGCTGCATAAAGATGGCCGACCGTCTGAATTCTAAAGCTCTTCAGTCGTCGTCTCGCCGTTTGAAGCAGAAATCGTTTCCTTTTCATGCAGGTTGTTGCATCACTGTAAACTTTAACATGATTTGCACTGTTTTAAATGTTGTGATATAAATATTTAAAAGCTGTCGTTATTTTGAAGGACTTCCTCTTTAATGAATTTATCAGTTCATTAAGTGCCTTTTAGATGATTGTCTGAACTGATGCTGCTTTCTGGAACTTTATCGCCCGGCGGCGGCGTTTTTTCCTCCACTTCTGATCTGAATCTTTCTGCTCGCTGGATTTTCTCCTTTTAGAAACTTTGTTTTATTTCACCTGTTTTTAAATGTTCTGTAACCAAACTAAATGACAACATTATGACTTTTAAAAGATAAATATTAAACAGTTCCAACCTCAGTGATGTTTTTTTTAAATCTGTTTAAAACGTTCATCATGTAAAAGTCGTTTTGGTTGATCTTTAAAGGAAAAGTCGCTCATATTCAGAATTCAAACTTCTGAAAGTTCT